TATAAGCACTGAAAGTAGACATTGCATGCCTATCATGTTCGCTCTTCTGTTGGCAGAACAGGGCAAGTCAATAAGTCATGTCTACAGTACTTAGTCGCTACCAGATAAATAGGGTTTATTACAGCGAGGAACGCTTTCGTATATTTTATGAAACCGCATTACACATATATGATTTTCATTTATTCAAATTTATTGGCGGGTTTAATATGAACCAACATAATGACCTGCTCCCAGTTGTCTTGTTAGCTCAGTTTGTAGAACACTGCACCGGAATCGCAGAGGTCATAGCTTCAAATCCCGTACGGACCTAAAATTTTTTCAGGCCTTAATTCCAACTTCTAGATAAGTAGGGTTTATTACTGCGAAGAACGCTTTCATACACTTTATGAAAGCTCAGTAAACAGATATTATTTTCATATATTTACTGAGTCGTCGCCATTATAACGCATTCTAGTGTCTTAGTCAAAAATTGTTTTCGGTTTTTAAATAATAATAATAACAATCTTTTATTAGGAAGCTCCATCACAATAGTGGTTTACATAGAGGTCCTACGTGTCATCCTTTAGCGGGATTTCGCAATACTCGTACTCGCAGGTTTCATAATTTGCCCGCTGACTAAAATTACTGTTTACTCTTACCCTCGACGAACGCCTTCGATATAGCGTCACCCGTTTTCAAAACACAGTGGAGTTAATGGAGGGGTTGGTCTGAAATTATTACAGCTTGGAGCTTCGATTAAAGCATACCTCACAAGACAACTCAAGCTTTGGTGGCAAAGGATTTACAACGCAACGAAAAGATATTAAAACGCTTGCGTCTCTTTAAATAGTCCGTTTCGCCGCCATCTTGCTTTACACTGTATATGGACGAGGGGGGATAGGACCAAAAGTATAAAACGCGTTTGATTGGATATGCTGGAATTTCACAGCTTTTTCGGTAAACTTTGTTCTTTGGCGGCACTTTTGTTTTCTTTTCGTGGTGTGATAAATTTCAGTTATTCAAACGCTTGCACGTGGTGTCGTTTTAGCGTGCGGCAGACTTTTAGTTCGGCTTACTGATAAAGATCAGCTCTGCAAAATGTCAAAAAGGAATCAACGAATTACCAAAGCACCAACACGTTTTCAAGAGGTTAATGGTGGGTGACACCCACCCACTTAAAACTTTTTTTGTTTATTTCGTTCATAGTTGTGAATAATCACCTTGTATCGAAACTATGAAATAGTTGTTTGTAGCAAGACTAACTTCAAACGGATAAGCTTAGTTGCTGATATCTTGTTTCCCCATAGACTTTCACCTTGTGAACTTTACTGAGGATGGAATAAAGTGCCTGTTCGGTTGAGGTAAAGTTGAGATTGCCGGTGATGATGTTGAGGCAGGCTCCTTGTGTGACACGTTCTGGGAGGATGCAAATAGCAAAGGGCTGGTTCCCAGCGATAATTCTCACTTTTCGGTATGTAAACTGAATAACCCCCCAGTTTTTCTTTTTTATCTCAAGAATTCAATTCCTTAAATGGTCCTTTGCCTCTATTTCATGTTTCAAAGGTAAAGTGTGTTTGATAAAACTAATATGAATTACTTTCTTCTTTGCCGGTAACTAAGCCATCATGATGATATTTTTTATGAAGTGATAGTCTTTTGAAGAATTGATTACTACTTCCCTTGCTAAACAAGCTTACACTGTCACTTTGGACCGTGTCTTTCATCATTTTGATTGATTGATTATAGTTAGGGGAGGGGGCTATTCTAAGTGGTGATCTCAATCTCTGGCAATCTAGGTACAGTGTGCGTGGTCAAACAAACTACTGTACTTTCCTTGGCTGAAATTTTTGTTAGTATTTTAGATTATAAAACTCCATGTTACCAACATAATCAACTGTCGGGCTGTTTGTAGGTAATCCACAATTTCAATCCTTTGAGAACTGACTTGAACATTTGTCTTTTTATTGCTTCCCAGGTTTTAATTTGTTCTGGATGAGAAAAATTATAGAAAGCAGGCTGCCACAGTTGTAAATAAAACCTTGCAAGATAAGTGCTGTGGATCAGCTTGTAGAGGAGTATAAAAAAAAAAACAAAAGCAAATTTAAAACTGCTAGAACTTAAGCACAATTTTATGATTATTCCTGTATTTTTTAATTATTTTTTAGGTTTTATATGTTCTTGTTGATTAGAAGAGAAATAAAAATTGTATACATACTGGTCCGATAAACCAATCAGTGCTGCAATCCAAATAGCTTACGCAAATCGTATAATTTATTCCAGTATATTATTATTCGATCTAGAGAAAAGAAATTAAACACATTTGAGAAACTGAACAAGATCTATCGATACATAAACACACGAGTCAAACTATTAGCTAGAATTGCAGCACTGATAACTTACTTCTGTGGCGATGTCTAGTAGGATTGTTTCACGGTATACAGGTCAGCAACAGATATAACAGATCAGGGTATAACAGAATACGGGTTAGCGCGACAGGTCACCAAAACATGAAGGTCACTTCGAGTCTAAACATCTGAACTGAAAGCAGACTTATTCACGTGGCTTAATTGCGAAACTTAGTGTCAATCAAAGTCAATCAGGAAATCAAGTTAATAATTCATTGTATTAACGAAACACATACTTAATTTATATCAATAAACTATGTCAAATAGATAACATGGCAGTGTCTTATTCGCTTGTTCTTAATTAATGAACTACACTGATACCCTATGCCACCCTTGATAGTCTCCCCCTATAGCCACAGTAGGGATCCACAGATAGCTAACATATCTGTAGTAGCAGATATTTCCACAGATATGTAAGTACTGTTGGTTTTTCATATCTGTCACAGTTAGACATTTTGGGCCAAATTCCTATATGTTACAGATAGGTCATGCAGATATTTCACAGATATGCTGCAGACCTGAGGAGCATATCTGTAGCCTATCTGCCTGTTTGGTGAGGGATATTAATGCAAATAAATAATTGATCCAGGCACTATTATCTTTTATAATTAATTGACACTTGTTGACACTTTCATGCTGCCCAACACAATTATTTTTTACATTTGCTTCCAGATCATTTCAGTCCCTGACTAACTATTCCTGCCTCAATCTCACCAACCCACAGGTTCACGGTTTGCACTTATATAGATGAGAAAAAAAACTATGTCCATTATCTTCAAGCCTACCCACATAAAATTGATGTTGGCTATTTGGACATCAATTTTGATTTCCTAAATTTGTGCAACCACATTAAGCCATGTGCATTGACACTTTCGTTAATATAAAGACCATATGCCAGGGTTTCAGGGTCACATAAAAATCTAACCAAAAATTCCTGTAGTAAGGGAAGGGACCCGGGTCCTTTGACATATACAAAACAATAAAAGCGCATAAAAGAGCTAACCTGTTGAATTGGTATTTGATATTGTTTAATACACTTCATAAGGACGTCTATCACTAGGGGTTCATCAGGAGAGGTTTCGTCAACCACTGCAAAGTTTGGGCTCTCTACTTGGTTTCCTTTATATTTGGAAAGACTTTCTTTTTGAAGAAAGCTGTTGCCAGTTCAGTCTCCAAACCCTCAATGTCTGCCATTTCAATGACCTTAAAAAAGATTGAGAGGATATTTCTGACTCTATGCCTTCGCAAGGGTGTTCCACTGATTATTTGACTATTTAACAATTATTCCACGAGCGCGCGTTGGATATGAGATGATAGATAGCCAACGAGGCGCGTAGCGCCGAGTTGGCTATAATCATCTCATATCCAACAAGCGCGAGTGGAATAATTGTTTTATTAAAAACGTTAACTTAAATTATTAAATTTTATTAAATTTAGCTTCCTTTTAATTTTAAGCTGATACGTACGCTTACCACATTTGTAGATTATGGTATATTGGCTGATATACCATAATGGCTAAGCCAATAAAAAGTCTTGAATTGCATTATCCAATGATCTAGTTTTTAATAAATTTCGTTATTCATAGCTTCGACAGGTATTACGTTGATATATTAAACCAAAAATTCAGAGCAATCTTGAGCTTCAATTAGTTTTAATTGGGAGTTTGACAGGTGGGTGTAGTATCCAAGTTCTTTCAAAATTTAAAATACTTACCTTTTCAGCAAAAGATATTAAAATGCCATAGTTGTTTAGACAACGATCATCTAACTCTGGGATTGATCGGGCGAGGGAAGATGTGATTTCCTTTGTCCTTGTCTTCAGGATGTGGGCAAGCTGCTGGCTTAGGCCAACAAAAAGCCCAACAGCACCTGATGCGCGACCAAAAACTTCTTCTGCTTTGATTTCAGCCCTCTGCTGGGCATCAAGTCCATTGGGACTCCTCCTTCCCTCGAGAAATGGTATCAACACTAATCTTCCAAAAACTCTGCATAAAAATCAAAACAAGAAACAGACATTAAGAACTTAGAATATATATTTTCATTACGTAATTTTCATTATTGCTGTTTAGTACATGCAGAATTTGTTGTACTGGGCTAACAGTACCTTGGATCCTGGTTCAGGGCATCAAGGACTTCCCAATTCAAAGTAAGAATCTGGCAAGTCCGTGGTGGGCGTTCGAAGAAACAGGTCTTGTCGCGTTCCCGATGCCGCAGACACGTGGTGTTGTGCAACGGAGTTCGCCAGTATAACCACAGTGTTGAACGTTAGACAAGTAGCAGCATCAACCTCT